GCAGATGGTAACAGCTACCCCATAGAGTTACTGTGAGGATTCAATGAGCTGTTATTATGAAAGCATTTAGTACTGTGCTTGGTACATATATGTGCTCAATAAATGTTAGATTAAAACCCCAAGATAAGACATTCAATGATAACGTGAATGTGGATATAAGGTAGTTGGACCTTTGCTCTCATTCTGGAATGGTGGCAGGTTCAAGTTCCCTTACCTAAAACTCTTCTCTTACCAAAACCATCACAGGCCCATGGTCTGGCTCTTCCCCAGAGCTCCAGCTATTGAGAGTCTCTGTTGCCTCTGGGTCTCTGTCTCATGCTGCCCCCTCCCCTTTGCATGGTTGGCTCCTATTCCTCTGGGTCTCAACTTAAGCGTCACCTCCTTAGACAGGTCCTCCCAAACCAAGTAATCTATCATAAATCTGCCTATTACCTACTTCTAGTGCCTGCATCCTTTTCTTCATAGCACTTGTCACAAGCTAACTCAATATGTGTGTATGTATCATGTTACCTGACTCCTCTCCTAGACTGAAAGGTCCAATGAGGCCAGGACTATACCTGTTTTCACTATACTGTCACCCTAGCCTATCCAACACCTGGCACAAATAGACACATACAGACACAAATTGTTAAAAAATGACTTATGCTCCTATTTTTTTTTTTACAATGTCTTCTATTATCAACCTGAGTTAGTATTTCAACCATTCCGTATGTATTGACTGGGCATCCATTATGTAACAGGCGCTGGGAAAGCAACAATGAATAAAGCAGACAAAAATCCCTGCCCTCAGGCTGCTTTCTTGCTGGTGAGTCAGCCATCATTTTATGCATGTATGTCCTGTGTCATACTTGCTTCGTTTACTTTTTTGCTCAGCATCCACTTGACCAATGAGAGGTAGGAGATGGTGGATAGATGTATCCTCCTTTTGTCTTGCATTCTATGCAGTTCCTCAGAGGGCCCCCCCAGTGGGACTGAGCTCAGTTGATCACAGAGGTGACCACCTAGATTAAGCACCCTTGGATGGGCTCTCTCTCCCTCTCTGTTTTGTGTGGTCCTGGTTCCTTTTCCCATCCCTGTTCCATGGGATCACTTCCCAAAAGTGATCACTGCCCTCAAGCCCTTCTCCAACACTGCTTTTGAGGAGAACCTGAGCCTACAGAGCTAATAGCATTTTATTTCTTTTGTCAGATCATTTTCTACATTTCCATCTTGGGTTCTTTGCTGTATTTTGTGTTCCTAAAGGTCAGGGATCAGATATGGGGTTTTTTTTTTTGCTGTTTGTTTTGTTTGTTTGTATTTTCCCCCAGTTACTAATTCAGAGCCTGGCAAATATCAACAAACGTGTTGATTTTTATTTGATTTGACAAAAGGAAAGAATAGCGTGGCTTTCTGTGGCTCAAGGGAGGCCAGCGTGACTTTTTTTTAAAAATTTTTATTTATTTATTTATTTATTGGCTGCATTGGGTCTTCGTTGCTGCGCACAGGCTTTCGCTAGTTGCGGTAAACGGGGGCTACTCTTCGTTGTGGTGCCCCAGCTTCTCATTGCGGTGGCTTCTCTTGCTGCAGAGCACGGGCTCTAGGTGCGCGGGCTTCAGTAGTTGTGGCTCCTGGGCTCAATAGTTGTGGCTCGTGGGCTCTAGAGCCCAGGCTTAGTAGTTGTGGCACACGGGCTTAGTTGCTCCCAGGCATGTGGGATCCTCCCGGACCAGGGTTCGAGCCCGTGTCCCCTGCATCGGCAGGCAGACTCTCAACCACTGCGCCACCAGGGAAGCCCAGAGTCACTGCTGGTGCAGAGACCTCTGCTAACACTGGATGAGGCTGGGACCTACCAGGGCAATGACTGTTTTCTCTTCTGTGTGCCCATCCTGCCTCCCTCCCAGGGCCCTGCACCCTTGACTTGCAGCAGCGGCAGGTTATCAGCATCTCCAAGCAGCTCAGGGCCCATAGCTGGGGGGAGGGGCTCACTCACTCCAGGCGTTCTGCTTGCCACCTGTTTCCTCCAAGCTGGGAGTTCTAGAGGGAGATTGGCCCCTCCTCCTCCTGAGCGGGATCCACATGTCTGCCATCTGGTGCTGGAAACCAAATGTCAAGACCCTGCTCCCACAAGGCCACTGTCACACTCCAAACGGGTGAATGAATGACTTCAAAATTCTGTACCAAACTTGACTAAATCTCATGGATATAGAGAGTGACAGGCAGCTGGTAAAGGTGCAAAGACCATTGCACATGTTCAGCAGACAAGAGTTGTAGTTATGGGTCTACCACTAATTTGATGCTCCTCTGGTCATGTACCACTTTTCTGCCCACAGTTTCCTGAAAATGAGAAGTTTGGACTAGATGATCTCAAAGATCCCCCAGCTCTAGGATTCTTAAATTACAGAGCTGGTAGGAACCTGATCTGTCAGTTATACTTCACATAGTCTTTTTTTTTTTTTCCTTAAAAACCCTCGCTCTTGGTAACAGCTCCATGTCTGCTCTAAACCCACTAGGAGTCAGCTCCAGCACATTTGCTCTTTGAATTCCCAGGCAGCCATGCTCATTTATGTACACCTGGAATATGCTTGATCTCTTTTTGTAATTGAATTTCTTTTTCTTTTTTTTGGCCTTGCCATGTGGCTTGCAGGGATCTCAGTTGAACCCTGGCCACAGCAGTGACAGCCTGGAATGCTAACCGTTAGGCCACCAGGGAACTCCCTGTAACTGAAATTTTCTTTTTTTTTTAAGAAGATGTTGGGGGTAGGAGTTTATTAATTGATTTATTTATTTTTGCTGTGTTGGGCCTTCATTTCTGCGTGAGGGCTTTCTCTAGTTGTGGCAAGCCGGGGCCAGTCTTCATCGTGGTGCGCGGGCCTCTCACTATCACGGCCTCTCCCTTTGCGGAGCACAGGCTCCAGACGCGTAGGCTCAGTAGTTGTGACTCACGGGCCTAGTTGCTCCACGGCATGTGGGATCCTCCCAGACCAGGGCTCGAACCCGTGTCCCCTGCACTAGCAGGCAGACTCTCAACCACTGCTCCATCAGGGAAGCCCAATTGAAATTGGACTCTCAACCACTGCGCCACCAGGGAAGCCCCCAATTGAAATTTTTAATGGGATAATTGTAGATTCACATTCAGTCATTAGAAATAATACACTTTACCCAATTTCCTCAATGATAACATTTTACAAAACCTTAATATGGTATCACAACTAGATACTGACATTCATATAATCCGCCTTACTCCATTTCCCCAGTTTTACTTGTACTTATGTGTGTCTGTGTAAGTTCTATATAAATTTTATCACCTGTTCTAAAGCCACAAGCTCTAAAACCACAAGGATCCTGTGTTGTCTTTTTATGACCACTTCTTGCCTTCCTCCCACCTCATCTCTTCTCCCACTTGATGGTTTTTCAAAATCTTTTTTTTTTAATATTTATTTACTTATTTATTTAGTTGCACCGGGTCTTAGTTGCGGCAGGCAGGCTCCTTAGTTGCGGCTCCAGGGCTCGTTAGTTGTGGCATGTGAATTCTTAGTTGCAGCATGCATGTGGGATCTATCTCCCCAACCAGGGATCGAACCCAGGCCCGCTGCATTGAGAGCATGGAGTCTTATCCACTGCGCCACCAGGGAAGTCCCTCAAAATCTTTTTATTTGGAAATAATTTCAAACTTACAGAAACATTCCAATACGCCCTGTACCCAAATTCACTGATTGTTAGTATTCTGCCCATTTACTTTATCATTTTTCTATCAACATTTTTTTCCTTAATCATTTGAGGGTAAGTTGCATACAGAATGCCCCCTTACCCCTACACAATACTGCAGTGTGTATTTCCAAGGATAGGGCTATTCTTACACACGAACATAGTACAAATTATCAACATCAGCGAATTTAACATTGATCCAATACTTTAATCTACTATCAGGATTCCAATTTTGTCCACTGGAATGTCCTTTACAGCGTCCCCTCCCCCCAAAAGAATCCTGTCTAGGACCAGGTATCACATTTAGCTGTCATGACTTTATAGCACTCTTTAATCTGGAACATTTCCCAAGCCTTCTTTTGTGACATTGACATGTTTGAAGAATACAACTCCTGCCCCCTTTTAATAGATATTCTTCATTTTGGTTTGTCTGGGGTTTCATTATCATTAGATTCAGGTTATGCATTCTTCCTGGAAATACTGCATAGGTGATGTGTTCTGAGGGCATGATATCCATCTGCTTTCATTAATGATGTCAGTTTTTTGTTTTTTTTTTTTTGCAGTACACAGGCCTCTCACTTTTGTGGCCTCTCCCGTTGGGGAGCACAGGCTCCGGACGCACAGGCTCAGCGGCTATGGCTCACAGGCCCAGCTGCTCCGTGGCATGTGGGATCTTCCCGGAGCGGGGCACGAACCCGTGTCCCCTGCATCGGCAGGCGGGCTCTCAACCACTGCGCCACCAGCGAAGCCCAGTGATGTCAGTTTTGATCCTGGTCAAGGTGCTGTCTCCCTGTGCCTTTATATATTGAATATTTCTCTCTTGCTACTAATAAGCCTAAACCACCTATGGGAAAGCACATTAATCCAGATAAATATCTTCTCCCCAGTAAAGTCTCCCCTAGGGTGAGTATCCATTGATGATTCTTGCCTGACCCAGTCTCTACTGTACACTGACTCTTCCAGTACTGGAAACCAGGTTTTCTATGGGTTAGTTTCCTTGGGTCTTCGGTTCTGGTCTGAGTCTTCTCCATGTCCTCCCAATGTCCTCTATGACCTTTGGCCAGGGACTAGCCCAACGCTGTAGACTCAGCAGCCTCAAGTGGAAATGAGGTCATGCGTGTTGTTCCCCGTTAAACCTTCCACCGGTCATTTGCATAATAGAGTAGCCTGTGAGGACTTACTTCCTGGATCGTTTCCTGATCCGCCGCACACCTGTCCTCCTCCCTTACCCTTTGGTGGCATTTTGTTCATCCATATTCCCCCCACCTCCCAGCTCTGTCCCACCCTTATTTAAGACTAAGGATTGCTTTCCTAAGGGACGGCCCGGCCTGCAGGAACGAAACGTCTGGACTTCTACTGTATTCTCGGCAAACAGCCTCCGCGTGAGTTCCACCCTGCCCTTAGACTGGCTGGACGGGCACGGAGAAGTGCTAGAAGTAAATAAGTGCTCGCGGCGGGGGTGGTGGTAGTGGTGGTGGTGGTGTGTGATATCTTTTCCCGACCCGGGGTATTTCGCCGGGGACTTCTCCAGGCCCAAAGTCGCAGGAGCGGGTCACCTGCCAGCGAGGTAGGAGGGGCTTGGCTCTGGGCCGCTGGGACGCGCTCCGCCCGGCGGGCGTCCTGGAGGTGGCGGCGCGGGCCGGCAGGCGGGGCCGGGGGAAGGGGAGGGCTCGGCGAGCGTCGGGCGGTGACGGCAGCGCGGAGGGGAGGTGCGAAGCGCCCGCCCGCCGAGAGCCATGGCGAGAGGCCGCGGCGCGGCACCCGCATCAGTGCCCCGGTCCACAGCAGCGCCCCCGCCCGCCGCCCTGGGGCCCACCCGGCCGCCGCCCCCGCGCACCCAGAGCCCCTGACGGCCGCGCGCTACGAGCGAGACGCCCCCAGAGAGCGGCCGCGCGCGGGAGGGCGGCGCGGGAGGGAGCGCTGGGGTGCCCGAGCGCCCCGACGAACCCCGCGTCCGGAACCTCGGACCCCGAGCCCAGGAGCGCAGAGTCGGCGGGCGGGCAGAGGAAGGAGGAGGAGGCGCCCCAGCCGAGCCTGTCGCGTGCGCCCCGGTGCCGCCCGGCCGGCTGCTGCGGAGGGAACCGGAGCCGCCGGGCGGCCGGGACTCGGCCGAGGACAACGAAGAGGAGGCGGCCAGGAGAGCCGAGCGCCCGGGCAGCCCCGCGCCGGAGGCCCCCGGGATCACGCCTGCTACGGGGCCGCGCTTCGTGCGCCTCTCGAGGGTAAGCCCGAGGACCGCTGACCCGTGCCTCAGGCGCATCGGGCCCGGGGGTGGGTGGAGAAGGACACGGGTGTCCCGGGAGTGTGGATGCGTGGTGTGGTAGCGGCGAGAGGCAGGGACCCTGAGGGGGCGGCCCCCCTCTGGCATCGGCCGCACCTACGGGAGGCCCTGGGGGGCACAGGAGGGTGCCAGTAGTGCATCGTATCGGTCACGCCGCGTGGCCTGGATTCCGGGCTCCGGCACTCCGAAGTGACAGTGAGGCGACCTTCAAAGAGTCCCGAGCTGAGCGAGAGCTGAACCCCGATTGCCACTCACCCGCAAAACGAATGTAAACTACATATTCTGAGAGTGTTTCGGTCGAGACAAATGGCTTTTAGGACCCCTCCTTTCCGTCCTGAGAGTTAAGAAGTTCACTTTGTCACTTTTTTGACCTGAGTTTTTCAGTTCTTTTCGAATCTCCAAGGTCAGCCTCCTGCAGGTAACAAGAAACTTAATGAAATGTATTGCTGCTTCTTTTGTAAAGTTGTGTTTAGGGAAGTACAGGTCAAAAGCCCGGCCCTGCTGTTCTTGGGGCTGGCGCTGGATGGCCCCTACCCGTTCAGTCTACGTGCTGTAGAACCCTTCGCTGCACTTGTTCAGAAACTGAAATCAGCGTCCACTTTGAGCGCCTCCTAAGTATGTCTAGGCCTCTGATTAAAAAATATTTTTTCCCATAAGCTTCCCTAGAACTTTGTTTGCTTCAAACAAATGTGTGGACGTTGTCAGTGTCTGCGAGTGTGTAGGCCGGCTGGGTACCCTTTCCGTGGAGCATCTTTTGGTTATGGGGTGGGGGGGAGACAAACCCCAGGGAAACTAGGAACAGGGTCTTTTCCGGTTTCCAACTACAAGAGCAGCAGAGAGGGAGGTGGCCAACTGAGCAGTGTGGGCTCTGGGCAGGCTGCATTGGGAAGGGTGTCCCAAGTTCCAGTGGAGGATGACAGGTTGGCTGGCAGGTTCAGAGTTCGACCTGGAGTGACAGATGGCACCTTCCTCTTTCTCCTGGTTTGGAAAGATCAGTCTTGTCTGCGCTTCGACCTCTGGCCCCAGCTTTATCACAGAGGTGCCCAGACAATCATGGGCTGAGCCACCTGGAGCGCTGAGCCGGGCTCAGGGATGATGCTGAGCTGGCTAGAAAGCCCATGTCTGTGTGCAGCAGGTTTGGCAAGAGTTGGGTTTCAGCTTGGCCTGAGCACAAGCCGTTTCCTGTTTGATGCCCCAGGGACCTGTGGGATTTGGTTTCCCATCCCCAGCTCTCCGTGGAGGGTGTCTCCACTCTCGCTGTGTTGCCCACACTCCTCTCTGGTGTGTTAAAAAAGGACATTGGCCTTGGAGTGGGGAACCTGAATTCAGATTCCAGCTCTTCTCTCTCTTTGCTGGCTGGGTGACCTTGGGCCCTTTTTTAACCTCTTTGACTTGGCTTCCCCCTCTCTGGGATTGCCCCTCTAAAACAAACAAACAAAACCCAAACAAACCTCACTGGACTGTTGTAAGGATTAAAGAGTGTTTTGAATGAAAGTGTCTGTAAAAGTTTGAATGACCTGGGAGGATTTTCAGGTCTCATTCCAACATGACTAGATTTGTGACTTGGTAACATTTTTGAGCCCTAACAGGGATAAGATAGCAGATATAATAGCGGTTATTTTCCTTCTTATAGATTTATTGTGAGGGTTGAATCAGATCCTGTAAAAGGACTTTGAAAATAAAATAGCATTGTTCGCATTCCGAGGAGTTCCTAAACTTTCAGTTTCCAAACTAGCAACCTTTTACTGTTTGCCATCTGATGTGGACTTTCTTCTGAGCCCCTACCCCGACTTTGCACATAGTAGGTCTCTGTAATTGTTAGATGAGTCTGGCATTAACCCTCTGGGCTTCCCATCTTGACTGCCTGCTCCCAAGATGGGCAGCAGACCTTGGGCTTTCTCTGCCCCATCAGCTGTTGGTGTTTTCATACACTTGATTATTCTTTGGCACCATACAGCCTGGAAGACAGCCGAGGAAGGCAAGCAGGTTGGTGGCCGCTTTTCCTGAAGGGGCAGTTCTTTATTTCTCCTATAGGGCTCCAATGAGAAAGGCATTGAAGGGTGAAGAGTTCATTTAAACTCACTGAGGGTTGCAGATATTAAATCAAGCCTTTCACCTGTCTTGCAGCTTAATAAACTTGAGGATAATATTACAGTGGCCAGCCTGTTCAAATATACGATTACATGACCCTTGGTTTTGAAAATGAACCCTGATCTGTTTAACTCATCTGTATTTGGTATGCATCATGATTTTTGTGGGAGGACAAAGGGATGGTTCTTTTTTTTTTTTTTTTTTTTTTTTTTTTGCGATACGCGGGCCTCTCACTGTTGCGGCCTCTCCCGTGCTCCAGACGCGCAGGCTCAGCAGCCATGGCTCACGGGCCCAGCCGCTCCGCGGCATGTGGGATCTTCCCGGACCGGGGCACGAACCCATGTCCCCTGCATCGGCAGGCGGACTCTCAACCACTGCACCACCAGGGAAGCCCAGGGATGGTTCTTTTAAGGAGATTCAGATGTTAGGGAGAGAACTATCTCCACCAAGCCCAAGGCTCATGTGTGTTCTTAGATTTTATCTTGGGTGAGTGTCTGTTGTATAGAGATACACTGTGAATGGGTCTTCTGGTTCCTCCCCCACTCTTTTTTCTTCTTTTTGAATAAATGTTCCCTATTTTGACTTGCCTTCTTATTAGGTGTATCCAAATGGAGGCCACCTGCACTGTTGAAAAATTCAAAGCTTTGGCAAAGAGACAGTAAATAATAGCATATGTGTCAATCTAGATGCCTCTGAGCTACATATAATACCAAATGATGTGTAGCTGGTTAAAGAAAGGGTTTGACATGTGTTTTTGAAGGGCTGTGTGGCTTCATTATTCACTGAGAAGCCTATTTAATTATGTGTTTGTTAATACTGCACCTGAGGTAGAAGAGGGTGGAACTGGGTGGGAAGTGAGCTCTTAAAATCCTTGTTTGTGCTTCTAGTCTGGCATTCTAGGAAAGACTGCTCCCAGACTCACCTGGGTGGTGGTGAGAAGCACTGTAAATCTCTCTGAAGACTATCTAGGGGCAGTGACCTTTCAGATGGCCACTCACAGCCTTGAGAAAGTCTTTTGGTTTCCGTGTCTCAAGCTAGGGAATGGATTCTCTTCATGCTTCTGAAACTTGCCCTCATAACCTTCAGGGCAAAGGAACCCTGGAAAGGGGGATGGGGGAGCTCAGCCTGAGATTTCCACGACTTTTCAGTGTTACTTCAGCAATTCCTTTTATTTTTGAAATTAATTAGTTAATTTAATTAATTAATTTATTTATTTTGGCTGTGTTGGGTCTTTGTTGCTGCTGGCGGGCTTTCTCTAGTTGCGGCGAGTGGGGGCTACTCTTTGTTGCAGCGCACGGGCTTCTCATTGCCGTGGCTTCTCTTGTTGTGGAGCACGGGCTCTAGGCGCATGGGCTTCAGTAGTTGTGGCACACAGGCTCAGTAGTTGTGGCACAAGCCTCAGTAGTTGTGGCACACAGGCTCAGTAGTTGTGGCTCGCAGGCTGTAGAGCACAGGCTCAGTAGTTGTTGTGCATGGGCTTAGTTGCTCCACGGCATGTGAGATCTTCCTGGACCAGGACTTGAACCCGTGTCCCCTGCATTGGCAGGCCGATTCTTTTTTTTTTTTAATTGCTTTACAGTGGTGTGTTAGTTTCTGTTTTATAACAAAGTGAATCAGCTATACATATACATATATCCCCATATCTCCTCCCTCTTGCGTCTCCCTCCCACCCTCCCTATCCCACCCCTCTAGGTCGTCACAAAGCACTGAGCTGATCTCCCTATGCTATGCGGCTGGCAGGCAGATTCTTAACCGCTCTGCCACCAAGGAAGCCCTCAGCGATTCCTTTGATGTAGAATGGAATGCAGGATTCATCTTACTATTTTAGTATAAAAATGCTTTAAATTGCTGCCTTGAGTCAAAAAGCGCTCAGGGAAGATGCACCTTATTTTCCCTGGGGCTCTGGGGGCTCCCCACAGCATAAGCACCTGTACCCCAGTTTGACAGTCTTGGAACTGGATTATTTCTAGGATCTCTTCTAGTTCCAGATTTTATGATACGCCAGGACACTTCACAGCAGAAGGTAATCTTCCCAGAGGAAATGGATTTTGTACTGACATCTGAAAAGGATGCTCCATTTTTTAGGGGAAATAGGTATATGAGTAAATTAAAGAACCACCAGAATATAAATTATCTGGATTTGAATGTTAAGGAAGACCCTGCTTGGGGTATTCAGGGGGCTTTGAAATCTTTTTTGAAAAAAAGAATTAGTTGAGGGACTTCCCTGGTAGCACAGTGGTTAAGAATCCGCCTGCCAATGCGGGGGACACGGGTTCGATCCCTGATCCAGGGAGATCCCACATGCCACAGAGCAACTAAGCACATGCGCCACAACTACTGAGTCCACGTGCCGCAACTACTGAAGCTCGCATGCCTAGAGCCCGTGCTCCACAAGAGAAGCCACTGCAATGAGAAGCCGGCACACCGCAACCAAGAGTAGCCCCCACTCACCGCAACTAGAGAAAGCCCGCGGGCAGCAACGAAGACCCAATGCAACGAAAAATAAAAGAATTGAAAAAGAAAAAAAAAAGAATTAGTTGGACATAACTGCGAACATGTGGAGTAAGTGGTTTGACTTTTTCTGACGAGTATCCTTTAGCGTGCCATTCAGAGCCCTTCCCTCTTTATTGTACTTCTCCTAATGCCTAGGCTTAGTTAGTAGATAGTGTGATTTTGTTGACTAACAAAATGCCACTGGTGTGCTTTTGCCTTCTGAGATGGCTTTGTGATGGTTTGTTTCTCTCTAAATAAATCCGCTTCTAACCTATCACTTTGTCTCTCACTGAATTCTATCTGCGATGAGACATCAAGGACCTGAACTTAATTAAGTCCTAAAACCTGGTGTGGGAT